CCATGTTTTCCTTGGAGTCGACGATTCATTGTCTGTGTGTTTTTACCCTCCCGAGTTAAGGCTGGTTCGTGTCGTGGCGACTCTTCGGCGCTGGTGTCCGACACCGAACGGATCCTTCAGTCGGAAACAACGGCTAATTTCTCGATCGCCACATCGTCCCATAGTGGCCGATTCTGGGCCACTGGCAGCGTTCAACCTGAACGCCCTCGGCCAGGACGCCGCCGCGTCAGCACGACACGGACCTACCCTAGTCTCTAGTGAAGGCTGGGTTAGCGAATCGGCTCGCGTAGCTGATTGTTCCGACGCCTCCCGGCGCCGGAGGCGCCAATGTAGTGAGGACAGGGCCTGGCGGCGGGGCCGATAAGCCGGAGGTCGAAACCAGCTGCCCGCAGCTGACTTCGTACCCCCCCCGTCATTCTATTCCCCCCACTTCGTCCGACCCGAGCCTGGTGTCACGCCCGTGTTGAACCTCTTGTTCCAGCGCGGTCTGTCCCTGATGGCGGTCCCCTTGGTCGCCTGTCTGCTGCCGGACAGCGGTTGAGCAGCCCTCGCAGGCGCATACTGGGAGAACACCGGGTTCGAGGAGGCCTGCAGCCAGCGGGTGTACTGCGCGCGGGTGACCACCTCCTGCCCTTCGATCGCCAGGCGGCCCCACTCTTGCTCGAACTCCATCTGGGTCGGGTTCCGGCCGAGGAAGAACTTGAGCATCTCGCGGAACTCCGTCTTGTCAATGGAAAGGCTCGAATCCACGTCGAAGAGGGCGAACACGAGCTCCGCCGACACCTCCGTGTGCGGGTTGCGCCAGAGGAAACGCAGGAACGACCTGAACTCGTCAAAGCTCAGCATCTGGTCGCAGTTGCTGTCTGCCTTGTTCAAGATCAGGTTGAGCGCGTTCGCCATGTTCATCTGTGCCCTCTCGTACACGGCGCCCCCGACGCGATGATCCATGACTGCGCTGGTGATCACGTTGTGGAATTCCTCGCGGTCCAGCTCCGAGCGAGAGATGGAGGTACCAACCTCCTGCCCCCGATGGAGGGAGCGCCACAGTCCCCGGACCCACGCCTCCACCTCGCAGGGGGGACGAGACAGTCAATCTGCTGCAACAAGGCACGCGAAGTGAGGAACGAAGCCCCTTGGCACCAGAAGAACCTGAGTGCTCGCAGAGTGCTAGAAGAACAGCCACAGAGGGACCTCCTGAACAGCGAGCCCCTTCCGAACACAAGCGGTCCCTCTTCCAGCGTCCTGACTGCAGCGAGGGGGGACTGGCTCAGGGGGGGGGAAGCGCTGCCTCGGGATCGGCAGCACATCGCCGACGTGTCGCCAGACTGGCCCTCGACAACTGGCGATGGGGCGACGCGGGGTCGACGACTCTCCCCCCTGCACAAGCGCCCGACGTCGTCGAGTCGTGTCTGTTCACGGCGTGCCTCCCCTCAAACCTGGACCCCTTCCCGGGGACCCCAGCCCTTCATCCCGAGTCGTCTTCTGACCGCAAGCACTGCTCGTTTCACGCTGGTGCCGCGCCAACGCGGCGCCGAACAGACTGTGCCGCGCACGCTCGCGCGCGCCGAAGGCACTCTGGAAGTGCCTTCGGGGGCGGCGCGGGGCCCGACACGAACATCGGTGTGGGTCCCGGGGCCCGGCAGGGGCCCCCTGGAGACCGCAGACTGTCGAACGCTCTCCGTCGTGATTTTTGCTCGACGCGAGGCCACATCTCCGGGCCGGAACTCACGGCCTCTCGCGGCCGATCGGGAACGCTCTCGACGAGGCGCAGCCGCGGGAGAGCACCCAGAGGCTGGGGAGCTTCCAAGAACCAGCGAAAAACGTCCGCAACCTCGAGCGAATACGTCGAGCCGCTCCCCCCCCCTTTTTGGAGGCCTCCTAGATGGGGTACGAGTAGATGAGGTCGGAGGATCGCGCCGCATCGCCGATGCATCGGCGATACACCGCCGATGCAGCGGCGATGCGCCGGCGACGTCAGCGATGCCTCGGCGCCGCCAGAGCGGAGAAAGTCGGGCTCCGCGTCGAGCCGCATCGCTCATGCATCGACGCTGCGGCGCGATCCTCCGACCCCATCTATCGGGCGTTGGCAGAACTGGGTTTCGTGGAGCCTGGTTTAGTGATCTGTGCCGCGGGCGCCCCCCCGTCCCATTTCCACGAACCGGAACTGCCGTCACCCGAATAACACCGGTTACGGCAAACCTGGTTTAGTGACTCTGGCCACTTGAGGGGCCCCAGGGCCCTACCACTGACCGGGTCCCCTTAACCCGGGGTCCTGGCTAGACCCGAATCCAACCCGGCCCCGCGTGGGCGACGGTCCAGCACGGATCCTGCGCGAGGTGACGCAGCGACCGCACGCGGCGGCTTCCCGCGGGCCGCCGGCGCGGCGCGCGGCATTTTTTGGAAACGGGGGCGCGCGCGCTCGACCTCACGAGGGGGCAGCGCGCGCGCGAGCGTCTGCAGGGGCCCTGGGGCACACAACTAAATACACACAAGTAACAGGCTTCCCCTATATCTTCGTATATGTTCGCATACACACAAAGAACAGGAGTCCCCATATTTTTTCGCATATATTCCTGGTGTTCGTCTTCCCCCCCACTTCCCATCTTTTCCCCCCTTTCCTGGGGAATCGAGGACCCATTGTGTGTGTTCCTTTCCCTCCCGAAATGTCGGCGGGGGCGCCCCCGTTCTCTCTCCGCGTCGCTCGTGCGGGAGGCCTGGACTTTTTCGCTGCCCGTGGCGCCTCCTGCTCCTCCGAGCCCGGGCTCGCCGCGCCCCTCCCGCTCGAGGCGCTGCCGGCGCGCCGCGGGCGCGCCCCGCTCGAGGCGCTGCCGACGCGCGCCAGGGGGGACAGCGGCTCGCCGCCCGGGCGGCCCCAGGGGCGCTCGCCTCGGGCGGGCGGCAGCGGGGGGTGATCCGCACGGGGGGAGAAGAGCAGGACCCCCTCGAGGAGCCCTCTATATGGGGTCCCTCTGGAGCCAGCGGGTGCTCCAAAGGGGCCCCAAAGGGCCCCTCTTCGGGGTCTTCTTCTTCTTCTTCTGCACCCCGCGTGGGCTGGACCACCCCCCCCCCGTTACCACTCGGCTAGGCGTAAGAGTGACCCTGGGTAAGAGTGACCTTTGGTGCGCAGCTCTTGGGGGCGCGAGGGAGCCAAACCCAAGGGGGCGGGCCGCTTATATCGCTTCGCGCTCGGCGATCGGGGGGAGCCCGATGAGCCCGCACCAAAGGTCACTACGGCGAAAGGTCACTCTTACGTGTAGTCGAACCACCCGCCCGATGGCCCTCGGCCGCAGAAGGGCCCGGGCCCAGGTCGCCATCCATGGGCCCCCTTCCCCAGGGGCTCGGGGGCGTCGGGGCGTCGGGGAGGGGCAAGAGGGAAAAACACAGGAGGGGGGGAGGAGAAGAGAGGAGGAGGAGGAGGAGGAGGAGGAGGAGGAGGAGGAGGAGGAGGAGGAGGAGGAGGACGAGGAGGAGGAGGGAGGGAGGAGAGGAGGAGAGGAGGAGGAGGAGGAGGAGGAGGAGGAGGATGGGGAGGAGGAGGCGGCGGAGGAGGAGGGAGGGAGGAGGGATGAGGTGATGATGAGGAGGGAGGAGGAGGAGAGGAGGAGGAGGAGGAGGAGGAGGAGGGAGGGAGGGAGGGATGGAGGGAGGGGAAAGGAGGGAGGGAGGGAGGGAGGGGAGGGAGGGAGGAGGAGGAGGAGGAGGATGAGGAGGATCACGAGGAGGAGGAGAGAAGGAGGACGAGGAGGGACGAGGAGGACGAGGAAGGCGGAGGAGGGCTCGGGGGCGAGGAAGGAGAGGCGTCGGCGCGTCGGGGCCCGGGGCACGTGCGCGGGCGAGCGGAGGGCCAGGGAAACACTGCCTCGTGGTGGACGCCAGCCGGAGGGTCTCCTCTCCTCCTCCTCTCCTCCTCCTCCTCCTCCAATACTCCTCCTCCCTCCTCCTCCTCTCCTCCTCCTCCTCTCCCCTCCTCCTCCTCCTCCTCCTCCTCCTCCTCCTCCTCCTCCTCCTCTCCTCCTCCTCCTCCTCCTCCTCCTCCTCCTCCTCCTCTTCCTCCTCCTCCTCCTCCTGCTTATGTTAGACCGACCTTAGCTGCAAGTTGTGGCGTTTATTTTTTCTCCTCCTCCTCCTCCTCCTCCTCCTCCTCCTCCTCATCCTCCGCCTCTTCCTCCTTGTTCTCCTGATCCTCCTTCTGTTGCGCCCCCCCCCCGCAACGACAGACGAGGAGGGCGAAGAAGATGCTTCGGTCATGCAGCCTGGGAGACTCCACGTCCCTGGCCGCCAGGTTCGCATCCCCCCAGGCCCTCCCAAGACAGGGGTCGCCGTGATGTTTTTTTTCTCAGTGCGCAGATCACCAAAGAGGTCTGGCCCCGTTCCCCAGGGATCGGCTCTGCTTCCAGAGCCGTTTAGTTGACGGCCCGAGGGCCTGGCAGGGGCCTCCCCGGCACGGGCTGGAAACAGCACAGAAAACCTCATGTGGTACATTTCACAGCCCGTGCCAAAGGTATGAAGGGGCCCTGGGACACACTAATAAATACACACAAATAAAAAGATTCCGCATATGTTCTTATATTTTGGTTTTTTTTGTCTTCCCCCCCACTTCCCAGATTTTTGCATATTTTCCTGAGAAGCGGCGATGAATTGTGTCTGTGTGTTTTTTCCCCTCGTGAAGGTAGGAGGGGCCGTGGCATGGACATGTATCACTTCTGGCTTCTTGCGCGCGTGCTAGGTCAATGCTCGTAGATCCTTTTGCTTGCACTTCGTGAGTAGCCAATTGGGCTCAGGAGAGTCCCACGAAGGACGGCGCGTCAAGCCGATACTGACAAGCAAACTGCATCCAGGTGCTTTGATCGTCTGGCTTGATTGTCTTAACCTGATCGGGGCCCCTTCGACGGATGTCCTGGCCTCGGATGTCTTACAGCCGGACCTGGAACAGAAACACATCCTTCCAGGACATGAGGCCCTCCACCGGCCACGCTGAAGCACATTCGAGGCTGTACCCTCCCCTAGGATGCACCAAAACGTCCAACAAACACGGGGAACATTAGGGCACCCTCCCCGAACCGACCTCGATTTTATACCGCGGTCCGACTGTACCACAGCCGCCGCGGAGGGCGGTCTGCGGCGGCAAGCTCTGGAAGAGCACCGGCATGGGCGGCGTCGGCGGCTGCGGCTGCGGCGGCGCCGCGTGCGTCGCCCTCGGCATGGGCGCAGCAAGTTCGTGTCGTCACGGCTTCGGCGTTGGTCCTGACGCCGCGCGGATCGCTCAACCTCGGGCGATCACGGCTTCCCAGCAGCGCAGGTCGTTGTTCTCTATACCTCGGTCCGACTGTGACTTGATTAGCGTGCGAGCTCCGACCTCGAGAGGCCCAAACCAATAGTTCGCGGTGTGCTTTGGACTGAACTCCGTGGTCTGCCCGTTTCGGGATCCTGAAAGCCCGACACGGCCCGAAAGCCCGGCCAGACCAGCTACCAAGAACTCTCATGAGGACTCCAAGAGGGCCCAAAGACAGCCCAACAGGGCCCTAAGATGGCCCAAGGCCCGAAGACGGCTCAAGAGGCCCCCCAGATGGCGAGCAACTCCCTCGAAAGGGCCCCAATGGAGGCCCCAGGGGGGCGCCTGGGTGCGCACCAGCACCGCCCTTGGCCAGGCCCAGCCAGGGGGCACAGGATGGGCTTGGCGCCGTTGCACGGATGCCGCCCGCCGACGACCGCGCAGAGGAGGCGAGGAGGAAGAGGAGGAGGAGGAGGAGGAGGAGGAGGAGGAGGTGAGAGAAAATGGAGGCGGCGGGAGAGGGGGAGGGGGAGGGGGCAAGCTAGGTGCGCTCGCGTCATATCTGACGTCCTACCCCTCCCTCCCATCCCTTACCATGGCGCTGATTTTCTCTATCCGCGGACGCGTGTCGTAGCGGACCTGTGGCTCCGCGCGCGCGTGCGTAGTGGGTGGTGGTGCGCGTGCGTGCGTGCGTGTGTGCGTGTGGTGGTTGTGGTGGTGGTGGTGGTGGTGGTGGTGGTGGTGGTGGTGTTGGTGGTGGTGTTGGTGGTGGTGGTGTGTGTGGTGTGGTGGTGGTGGTGGTGGTGGTGGTGGTGGTGGTGGTGGTGGTGGTGGTGGTGGTGGTGGTGGTGGTGGTGGTGGTGGTGGTGGTGGTGGTGGTGGTGGTGGTGGTGGTGGTGCGGCGCGGTGGTGGCGGGCGGATGGGCGCGCGAGAAAGAGGCCCGCGCTGGAGCGAGGACGCCATCCTGAACGACGGAGGCCAAACACCGATCCGAAAATGAGGCCCACGCTGCAGCGGGAGCACGATTCGGAACGATTCGGGAGCAGAAATGAGGCCGGCGCCTCAGCGAGAGCAGCATTTTGGAACAAAAAAAAAAAAAAAAAAAACGCAGGCGAAAACCCGTTTCCCAGGAATCCTGTGTAAAAAAAACAGTACGCTGGGGGGGGTCGGCCATCTTCGGGACGCCATCAGGGAAAGTGGGAGAGTATTTTCATATTGTGTAATTGTAGAGGGAGGGGAGGGGGAGAGGGAGGAGGAGGAGGAGGAGGAGGAGGAGGCGGGAGGAGGAGGAGACGGCGGGAGGAGGAGAAGGAGGAGGAGGAGGAGAAGGAGGAGGACCAGTGTAAACCCAAGAGTCATCAACGATGTTGGAATTAACCCTCCCTCCAAGCTCCCTCTTCGGAAGCCCCTACAAAGGTTCATTTCCATTGAAGGAACTGCCTCGTTGGAAGACAACCGTTTGGAGATCCTGCAGCATGCCAAAACGTTGTTCTTGGGATTTCAACGCCACGTATCAACCTGACTGCTGCGTCTTGACGATCCGGAATCGTGTCAGAATGCCATGTTTGGGACTTCGACACCGCGAATCAATCTAACTGTTGCACCCGCATAATCCTGAATCCTTCCAAAACACCATTTCTGGTACGTTGACCATGGGAATCCTTGAAACTCTTGCAAATGTTTAAAACGAATGTGCGCGGCGCTAAGGCGAGAGCCACATTTTGAACACCACCCGCCCTCAAACTGTGAAACCGTTGTCACTCTTTAAGCTTCAGAGTCATCAGTGGTGAGGGAGTCTCAGGCGAAACGCCTGGCCCGCCCTTATAACTGGCCTCGGGGGGCGACAGGGAGAAGCCATCTATAAAGAAAAGGAATGGAGGAGGGAGGAGGAGGCGGGAGGAGGGGGCGGGAGGAGGACGAGAACGAGGAGGAGGAGGCAGGAGGAGGCAGGAGGAGGAGGAGGAGGAGGCAGGAGGAGGCAGGAGGAGGAGGAGGCAAGAGGAGGACGAGGAGGAGGAGGAGGAGGAGGCAGGAGGAGGAGGAGGCAGGAGGAGGAGGCAGGAGGAGGAGGAGGCAGGAGGAGGAGGAGGCAGGAGGAGGAGGCGGGAGAAGGAGGAAGGGGCCTGGCCCCCTCGACGCCCCCGAGACAGACTCGCTGCGCGCCCGCCGGGGGGGCAGCGCGGCGCGGGCCCGCGCGGGCCTGGCGGCGCGGGGGCCTCCCGAGCCT